GCCCGGCTCCCGCCCCTCGCCGTGCCTCCCACCTGGGAGCGTCCGACCCCGCGCCGCGCGACAGCGATGCCTCCTTTGCGCGCAGCTAGGACTAGGGGAAGGAGGACTTTCGCGGAGCCCAGGGTCCCTTTCCCCACGCCCGCCTCCCCTCGTACCGCTTTCCGCTCAATCTCCCCAAGGCCGCCCTCCCTTCACTCGTTCCTCAACAATCAACCTCTGAGTCTGTAGCTTCTGGGACGAAGGAATCAGCAAGAGCGAAGGGCTGGGGACTGTTGGCCAGGTGGCTCTGCCACCACAGGCTGCGAGCGCCGTGGCCGCGCAGCCGGCACCCCAAACTCCAGGCCAGGACCTCCCCAATTCCTCGGGTTCTCAAAGCTCCTGCATTTTCCTCAGCTCCCTTCAAACCCCGGAGCCTTCTTTCCGCCCTCCAAAGTACGCCTTCGGTTCTCTAGGGTCCGCTCCCACCCCAGTCTGCAGGTGCAGTCCCTCTCCAGCCTCAGTTCCTCCGCGGCTTCTCCATGGGCCCCCGGTGTGTCCCGGGCCACTCTCTCCGTCAGACAGTGTGTTCGCAGGGCACAGGTACAGGCACACGGGTCCTGCCGAGCCGCCCTGCCTCTCCAACCTCGGCGCCGGCCCAGACTCTCTAAGGTCTGCGGCTTCCCCAGCAGTGCGGCCCCTCCGCCTCAGCCCGAGAGCGGGGTTCTGGCCGAGACACCACTTCTCTCTAGCGGCCTGACCAGCAGCTTCCCTGCGCCGCATTGGATCTTTCCTGCCTCCGTTTCCCGCCCTTTGCTCACCCTGGACTGTTCCCGTCCTTCTTTCTCTTCACTAATCTGACTCAGCCTCCACCCTGTCTCTGCTGCCCGCCCCCCGTGTATTGCACCCTTTTCTCCTCTTTTCTTTCTTGACCCTGCTTTCTCCTTCTAGACTCTCCTCCTTTCCCCCACCTGCTGTTTACATCCCTCTTCTGTCTTGCCTCACTCTCTTGATGGCTTCCTCCTTTTTTTCTCCTCTGGTCCTGCTTAGAGTGGCACCCCAAGCTTTCCCGTTTTCTCTCTCCCCTTCCCCTTTAGTTCCTTTTCACCACCTCACACGGACAGATGCCTCAGGATTTCCCCATCCACTCTGGACAGCCCCGCCAGCCTTTCTGAGGAAAGTCACATCTGTTCCACTTTGGAGCCATTTCCTGACTACTGGAACATGTGGCACATGGTGATGCTGTAGTGTTTGCTGGTCAAGAGACATCTACAGTCTCCCTTGTATGCTGTTAAACAGTAACCATGCACACTTCAGTTTTGCATTGCACAATGTGATGGGTGATCTTAATTGTCAGTTTAGGGCTAGGGATTTAGCTCAGTGATTCTGTTGCCTGCCTTGAAAGTGCAAGGTCCCAAGTTCGATCCTTGTACCAAAAAAAAGCCTTAATTCTCAGTTTAACCAGGTTAAGATACTCCTGCAGAGGAGGCTGGGTTGTGAAGGCACTAACTTCATCTACAATTCAATCCATTCATGACTTCTTATAGGAATGGGCTCCTAGGAGGTGGGGCCCAGTTGGAGGGAGAGGGACCTGGGGCTGACTGGTGCCTGGCCCTTCCTTTCTAGCATTTTTCTTGCTCTCTGCTTCATGGAGGCTATGAGTTGAGCGACTTTCCTCCACCAGAGCTCTCTGCCACGAAGTTTCTGCCTAGGAGCCAGCCAGCCTTGAAATTGTGAGCCAAAGTGAACCTCTCCTTTTTGTTTTTTTTTTAATAATACTGGTGATTGAAACCAGGGCCTTTGCACTGAGTTACATCCCCAGACCTTTCTTTTCATTCTTTCTTTCAACAAGGTTTTGCTAAGTTGTCAAGGCTAGGTTACTCAAATGTGTGATTCTCCTACTTCAGCCTCCCAGAGTGCTGGGATTATGGGCATGCACTACCACCCAACTATAAATCTCTCCTCTTTTAAATTATGGATGTAAGTGGTATTTTTTCCTCCCCATAGTGGGAAAGCTGATATAATCACTGCATGGGAATCACCCAGATTGGTTGAAGCATTTTGTAAAGAATACCAGATATCAGCTATCACAGCTCCTTCCAGCTGGGTTTGCACTGGCTTTACTGCACAGCTGCAGCCTTGGTTCCTCAGTTATTACTGGCTTGTTGCAGGTGCAGAAATCTAGATCATCAGCAGTTGGGGGCTTCGGATTTCCATTTTCTCCCTGCCAGAAAACTCT